TATTATATTAATTTTTTTAAAGGAGAAAAGGTATTTTGACATCTGAGCTGTATTCAAAGATTATGTGGAATATAGGAAATATTTAGTTAATGAGTAAGGAATTTTTTATTGAGGTTTTGTGGTATATTAAGAAAAGGATGATTCATGACATTATAAGAATGAATTAGGAAGATGATAAATAAATTAACCAGAGGAAATAAAATTTTGATAAATACAAATATTTGGATGTTGAGGTTGATATTCTTAAATTTATTCAAATGGTTGGCTTGATTTTATAGTATAAAAATTCCTTCAATGGAGTGAACATTCTTAGTTTCATATACTGAAACTAAACTATATATGATTGAGACTAATAGGATTTGGTTTTATTAGGTATGAAATCACGTGATATTTTTGAGTAAAATTATTAACTAGCTTAGATATGGAAAAAAAATATATTAAAGAAATAAATATAAAAGAGAATATGTTAATGGTGTAGTTTTCGAAGAAAATTACTTGCGAGCAAAATATGGTGAGAATATGTAGTAAATTTGACTAGTATATACCGGTTATTATTTGCAAAACATTTTTCTAGTAAATTAAATATGTTGTGTTTTGAATTAAGAAATTAATTTTAGTGATATAAATATAATTGATTTTAGGAAAAAAATTAAGTATATTAATATGGTTAGTATATATGTCAATTTGGTTCTATCATATAATTTGACTCTGATTCATATGTAATGTTGTCAAAATAGATTGGATTCCGTGAGTTAATCCAGTCTACCACAGGTTCAATCCGTATTGGGTTGGAAAATAATTGAAATTTTGATTGGGCCAATTTTGAGGCCAATTCACTAAAATCCCAATTCACTCGGGTTGAACCCGTGGTGAGTCAAGTTAGCTCGTCAATCCACCTAATTTTGTTTTTTGTATTTTTTTTTTGGATTATATTTAGAGTTTAAGATGGTTTTAGATTATATTATATATTTATTTTATTTTGAATTGTTTTTAGAATTTAACATCAATTTAAATTGAAATTTATTTAGATTTGAATTAAAAAAAATTGTTATTTTTTTTAATTGAAAAAATTATCATTAAATAAACTAGTGAACCAACCCGTTTAACCCACCAATCCGTGGGACAGACCACTCACTATAGTGACTTTCTCTTATATATATAATAATATAAAAAAAAGATACACCAATGATAGATGTAACACTAAGCCAATATGGAAAGTGGAGTAGAATCAATCAACTGGCATACCTTGAATCTAACCGACAATCCTTTCTTTCAATTACGTTGATGAGCTGGCTGCTGTGTATTAGTCTTTTTTGACATTGTTAGTCGGTACGGAATAGTTGCTGCCAAAACAAAGGACCTCCATCCTGTAGTTATATTGATATAGATTTACGACTTGAAATTGATTGATATTGAATGCTGTTCTTTTTGGTTTTCGCTCTCATCTAATAAATTCGCATGGGACGTAATATCATAGCGCAACATCTACTCTTTCGAAGTGGTATTTTTGCGAAAGGGCAATCCCAATGACCCATAAAAGAGCTTAAGCTTTCATTGTCGTTACAAACCAGGGGGCGAGATAAGAAACTGACTAGCCATATACACCAAACAAGCTAGCCACACCAAGACCAACAACTTTATGCACAAAGGAAAACCAATGAAAGCGAAGATATAGGTTATGAAATAAGGTAGGTCATTTTTTCAGTTCTGTCACTCTCTTTTCCCTTTTCTAAGCTATATCAACATAGCCACTCTAAAACGAATGTGCTTGTCAATTCATTCTTGGTGTAATACGTAAATGATTGGTGTCAGAATTTTTCACATCTCAGTCTCATCCGTAGTGTAAGAATTAGGAATTCCTCTTCCAACTCGTCTCGAAATGGGCGTTATGGCAAAGAACAAGAAGAAAACAAAAGGAAGAATTTGTCCAATAGTAACAAAGGGTGCCTCCACAGGTTGACATCCGATCCAACCTAGTAGTAAGCGATCCGCCAAAAGCAACCAAAATATTCCTTGGTGAATAGGGCGAAAACTTGAACTACGCATGTACATACTTTTACAAAAAGGTAAAGCCAACATACATATAAAAACTAGTGTTATTGCGGCTACACCTCCCGATTTATCAGGTATACTACGAAGAATGGCATGGATCGATAGGAAATACCATTCCAGCACAATATAAGGCAGGGTGGGCACCGGATTAACAGGTATATAATTATCGGGATGACCCAAAACATCAGGAGCATAAAAAATCCAAATGGAAAAAAAGATAGCAAAAGCTACCCAACCTACTAGATCCTTTACATGGTTGGGAAATATTTTCGGCTCATTAATAAGTGAGTCGGGTTGGGTTGGCTCACTATGTGGCCAACCCGTGGTGAGCTGAGTCGGATTGGACCGGATGACCCGTTTTGACAGCACTACTCATATGGGTTAGGATCAGAAAAATTCACAAGACTAAAAGGTCCCCATTGAAAAAGCTCGCTAGATGAAAATATTCCCAAAAATCTTGTGGGTCAAGACCAGCTCATGAGTCTTCTTTTTGTTTTTAAATAATCATTTTGATTAAAAGAAAAAATACGAGAGTCACTCCCTCCACCACCTCAACTGCTCCCTACACCTTTCCAGATCTTTTCTTATTCCAAAAATATCATAAGTTAAAAAATTTTAACTCTTACCATTTAACTTTATTTACCTTTTTTAAAATCCTAATTCTGCAGCCTCCACCCCCTCACTTTTTTTCTTTCTCTAAATACACACAAACCCCACCCCTCACTTTCTCTCTTTCTCTCTTCTTCACACAGAGAGCCCCCGCCCCTTCATTTTCTCTCTTCCTCTCTTCTTTGCACACACAGAGCCACTACCCCCTCCCTCTTTCTCTTTGTTTATTCTTCTCTTGCACATTTTTGTGGTTAAAGCTTCCTTCTTTTCGTATATGTGCTCTGCAAATGTATGTATGTGGTGTGTTGTGTAAGAGGAAGAAGAAGAGAAACGTAAAGGCTTGAACGGATATGAAAAATTCGTTCAGTCTTCAACGAATCTTGAGATCCATCCACGGATGTCGAGATTCGTTAAAGGCTAAACGAATTTCTCACATCCATTCAAGCTTTCGCGTTTCAACTCTTTTAATTTTTGTTTTTAGTTTATTAATTTTTTTTTGTAGATTTTAATTTCTGAGCATTGTAAATGTTTATTTGTGTAGATTTTACAAAATTTAATAATTTTTGTAATATTTTTTATGTATAAAAAAAATTGTTAAAAAATAAAACAAATTGTTGAAAAAGAAAAGTAAGGGGGTAGAGACTACAAAATTAGGATTTTTAAAAAGTGAGAAGGTATAAGATGCGTTGTTCAACTAATATTAATTTAATGAGGAAAAACCTTTTAACTGGAGTGCAAAATGAGAATGAGATGTGCAAGAAGAAACCTGTGGTGGTAGAAAGAGTAAACCTCAAAAAATACAATTAACTCTTAATTTGTTGCAAATCTAATTACTTTTAACTTATCACATAACTAAATACAAATAATCTCCTCATACAACTCTAAGAAAAATACTTTGATATACATATTTTTTTACATTTCTTCAATATTACCCTTCTTTATTTTTATCCTATGAATATAAATCTATATTACTTTATTTCTCCAAATATAAGAAAACATAAATATTAATTAAAAAATCAATAACAACACAATTCACACACTTTTTTCACTGTAAAATTTTACATAAGTTCTTATTACATTTAATAAAAGAAATACACTTTATAACATTAACGGTAATTATAATATATAAAACTAAAAATAAATATATTAACATCAACATAAAAAGTTAATTAAAATAAATATTAATCAATATAAAACGTTAATCAAAATAAATATTAAAAATAAATAATTTAATTAACTTTAATAAATACTGAAAATAAATAGCTAGTGTTACTTTAAACATTAATTAAAATAAACATTGAAAATAAATAAAGTTAATAAGTAAATTACAGAATCTTTATTAAAATAAAATTATAAATCTGAAACTGCTGGTGACCTTTCTTACAATTTTCTCTTTTACAAAAATAAAAAATAAAAATACCATTTTTTAATTAAATGTTTATCAAATAAATGTGATTACAATATAAAATAAAAAATATATCATATAATACCATTTATTAAAATAAATAATTCTTCTTAGCACAATTATATACTATAACATTTTTTAAAATAAGATAATTTTTCTTAACACAATTATACTTTATAGCAATATTTATTAAAATAAGACAATTATTTTTAACGCATATTAATAAAAACATATAAGATAATGTTAGTTTATTTGCCTTTTCATCTTTTTATAATAATATTAAATTAAGTGAAGAACATATAAGATAATATTAATTTGTTTTTCTTTTCATTTTATTTTTTTATAATAATATCAAATTAACCTTATCATATATGTTTTTCTTAGCATATTTTTCTTAAAAAATTTAAAAAAAAATCTAAGTGCTTAATAAATTTTAAACTTATCTTCACAAAAACGGACTTTAATGTATATAATTTATAACACAGATTCTGTAATTGGAAATTAATAAATAAATTATAGTTAATATTAAATTATATATATATATATATATATATATATATTAATAATGTAACAATAAATATGATATAAAATATGAAAAATTATAATATATTATACTATTTAATAAAATATATGATTTTATGTGTACATAAATATTATTTTTAAAAACTAATTAAAGTCTGTAATGTCAAATTCATCTTAACTTGACCTAACTCATTTGAAAGGATATTTAGAGAGTTGAAATTTTTTTTTTTTTTACCCCTATTTAAGAGAACATCTTAAAAACAGGCTTTTTCAAAAATAAATTAGAGTTGTAGATCAATTTAACGTGGCGACATGGGTACACCGACAGAGTGAGTGCAATAAAAATGCACCAAAGAAGAAGACACAATAACAAGAATGATTATACAGTGACAATGATTTTAGTTTTTTGTTGATAACATGGATGTCCAGCTAGTAATCATGGGGTGCAGGAAGCAAAAATCTTACCAAAATATACAGGAGTGTCGCTTCAGTGGACTGGTTATCTTTTTATCTTCATTTTCTTCAGCCACAGTTGTATCATTTAGCCGCACAACTTACAGATGAGTTTGAATATTTGAGTGGAGACTTCTTTTATCGACTAAAATATTTGCAGCTTCTAAGACATTCTACAGTTTCTTGATTTTTTAACCAAGTTACTTAGTCGCTGATGGCCATCAAAAACTGAATCACAAATCTAAAAATTGAGAGTTATGCTTTTTCAACGGAAAATATCGATATAGAAGTCATTGGATAACGCGTGTATCATAAGTCATGCACAGCCACTTTTTCGGTGCAAAATTTTTTGAGCAATTTTATAGAAAATTAAGATTTTGCTCCAGTACACATGACTAAAGTAGATTGTACAGAATGAATAGAATTCCTGGCATGCTCTCCTCAAGATTCAATACAACTTCATAGCCTACATAGAGAATGAAAACTTGTGGCAAGACATGAAATCTGGACTTCTAGCTCAAATATGCATGAAACTAGAAGCATAACAAAGCCAAACTTCGATGATAACAAGTTTCCATATTCTCCTCCTCCTACCGCCAGCACTAGCTCAAAGAGTTAGTATGTCACAAACCCAAACTAGTATCCTAGTAAGGGTAACGCCATCACTACAATAATTAGTAATACAGAGTATACACACCACGCCTCACTATCAAGACAAGATCAACATGCTGCAATATTTTCAAAATGATAAAGAAAATATCAAAGCACTAACTGATTTAAAGACAGAACGGAAAATTTGTATAAGCATACTAATAGTTTACCTCCTACGCATGCTCAGATCAAGGTCCTTAAAATTGTATTGTTTTCTTGGATAAAGGTTTGAGTCGTTCAATCAAATCCTTTCTCAATGACTCGGGAATCTTTGAGTTGAAAGCTAGCTGCGCCTCTCTAATTAACGACTTCCTGCATTGCTCGTAGTGCAAATAACCAGCGAGTCAAATCACAAACATCATTGTACATATATTTACAAATGAGAAAGGGAACTCAGTCCTTAGTAGCCAAATTATTTAATTATTAAAGAAAAAAGACAAGTACCGGAACTATGAACTCATTGAATGAGCATTGTAACAGCCTAAAATGCTCAAGAAAATACTTAAAGGACTTTAGGAATTGAAGGATGAAATTGAGAGAAAGGATACCGAATAATATTTATCGAGTATTGTGATGTATTGCTATTAGGCATGGAAAAAAAACTCAGCTCTATGCCATTCTCCGAACCCGACCCAATTTTGACAAGAAATTTCTATGTATAGACTGGATATATAGGTATGATTAATACCAAAGTTTTTAAATTGAGTACACAGATAGGGATGCATATGCACATATCCTCCACGTCCTCATCCTCATAGTGATCCCCATTCTAAATTACTAAAACAACTATAATTTATTAAGTAGCCTAAAAACCTTATATTCAATGTTTTCTTTGGTTCTTAGTTTCATAATAAACACCTTTTTTTTCTTTCTCTACATAATTCTTTTAATTCTCTCTCAACTATTTGACTAATTCAAAATCCACAAAATTCACTCATATCTCAAAAAGAACTTTAGGCTCTAGATACCATCTAAATTGATATTATAAATTGGTTTATCTCTAGTTGACGTGAAACTTCCAATACACCCCTTCATGCTGAGGTATATACATCTCAAGCGTGAAACTAGAGATTAATGGGTGGTCCAATAACAGGTGGAACATGTCCAACAAACAACAAATCTCGCTAGGATAGGTTCTAACCTAACTTTGGTGCCATATTAAGAAGTAAACTTTAAGTTTAACTCAACCCCACAAAATCGGTTTGTAAAGTGAGATTTGCACCCACTTATATATTATAAATTGGTCTTATCTCTAGTCGATGTAAGACTTCCAACATTAACTTTTTAATGTTGTCTCTGTTGTGGCCATAACTATAAGCCTTTTCCTCATTACTGCTCTTGCCGGTAACGGATTGAGAAAAAGAATTTGCCTCTGCCAATTAACTAGGTGGTGTTGACTTAGCTACTACCATGTTATCAATTCCTTTGTTCCTCTTAGTAGAGAAACTCTTAAAAGCCAGCAATGACTCAAAAGGTTCTCCCGTCAAGACTAGTTGAAACCTATGGATAAGTACGTTCTTCAAAACAACCCAAGATTGGTTTGGATTGCACATTTCCCACCATTGAAACCAAGATAAGGCAATTCCTTCCATTGCAGCCATAACAGCTTCCATTTTCTCCTCTCCTTGCACACCTCTCAGTTGGAAATATCTTTCCACTTTACCTATCCACCCCATAGCATCTTCTCCCTAAAAACTGGAATATCCAATGTCCTCCACAAATCGCAACTCTTAGTTCCACCAAACTCTTAACCCACTGACTCCTCCAGTGCAGTGCAACCTCAGTTGAAACCATCTGTTTCACAATAGTTACTGCACTTGCACTTTTTCCGTTTCCTTCTTTCAAGAATCTTTGAGCCAAATTTGCTTCCATTTGGGTCAATCTTGCATCTAATCTTGCTTCAAAACCCTCTGGTAACTGAAGCCCATTTGCTACAGTCGTACCCACAAAGCCCGGAAAAAGCTTTGATACCAGTTTATAGAAACTGGATTAGAAACTCAAAACGGGAAAGGAAACTCAAAGAAACTGAGAATTGCATATAGAAGTTTTAGAAATTCTTTTACTGACACACCACTTGCACTTCAAGGGTCCAGAATCCTCCCACTAATCAACTAATTTTCTCCCTCCCCCCAAACCTGAAAAAACACCTATATGTATACAAGTTTCCCAACACAACAACAAACGTAACTACTAACAGATTTCAAGTTGCTTGAATTAAAACAAATAGCTGCATTTTCCTTTTCCCTTGTTTCTTCTTCTATGGACCTTCATAATAGGAGGTTGTGTCCTAATATAATGCTTTGGAACCATGTTAAGGAGAGAAAAACTAAGGAATATAATGAACAATGATAAAAAACAAAGCAATATCTAATAATGTAAAAAATTTAGTAAGATGTTTCTCTATCAAATCATTTGTCTCTATTTTATGTAATCAAATCAGACATCTAACAATTCTCCCTCAAGCTCATGATATCTATTATATAAGACAAGACTATTACAAATATTATCAACACAACACCTCTTAGAGAGACTTAGTAAATAATGACAAGGTTAGTAGACATTCTCTATGTCAAATTAGCAATCAATCTTCAATATGTTTCTTTCTGTCAAGTCAAACCATATCTCTAACACTGTTCTCAAGCTCGAACATATGTAACATTAGTCAATCTTGTTAAAATTGGTGAAAGTATGTAATAGTTGTTGGGAAACAAAATGTTCAAAGAGCACAAGGCAAGGCCATTCCAATGACACTTGACCAGAAAAAGCTCGCTGGAAAGAAACACAAGAAACTTTGCAGAAAAATGTAAAAGGTGATCAGTAACATCTACTAGAAAAACCTTTTAGAAAATAAAAAATTTTTAAAAACATACTTGAGAATTAAACTGTAAAATAATTCTAGAGGGCTTGATTGATCCCTCTCACAATCTTCTATTTATAAGAATAAATTGATACACAAGTACATGATAAATAGGGTAACCTAGACACAATATAATCATGATAAATAGGGTAATCCTAGACAATATATAATCATGATAAATAGGGTAACCCTTAACACAATATAATGATGATAAAACAGGATAAATATCCTAAAACTCCCCCTCAAGCTGGAGCATACAAATTGTATGTACCAAGCTTGGAACAAATAAACTCAATCCGAGGACCCCTTAATGACTTGGTCAATACATCTGCGAGTTGATCGTTTGACCCAATAAACTCAGTACATATTTCTTTAGTCAACAACTTTTCACGAACAAAATGACAATCAATTTCTATATGTTTAGTCATCTCGTGAAACACTGGATTTGATGCAATGTGGAGAGCAGCTTGATTGTCACAATACATCTTCATAGTATGGATGTCACAAAATTTAACCTCTTGAAGGAATTGTTTCACCCATATAAGTTCACATGTTAGTGATGCCATTGCCCTATACTCGGCTTCCGCGGTTGATCTAACTACTACATTCTGTTTCTTACTTTTCCATGAAATAATGTTTCCTCCCAGAAAAACAGAATATCATGTAGTAGACCGTCTATCAATAGGTGAACCTGCCCAATCTGCATCGCAATACCCAGAGACCTGAATGCTACCTTTATCTTCATATAGCAATCCTTGCCTAGAAGCCTTCTTTACATACCTTAGAATGCGAATGAGAGCATTCCAATGGTCAACACATGGAGCCTGCATGAACTGACTAACCACTCCAACTGCAAAGGATAGATCTGGCCTTGTAATAGTGAGATAAATCAATTTTCCAACCAACCTCCTATACCTCTCTGGATCGGAGAATAATTCACCTTCTTCTATCCTTAATTTCTGGTTTGGGGCCATGGGACTGTCTACCGGTCTACAATCAATCATGCATGTTTCTTGTAATATATCAAGAGCATACTTCCTCTGGGAGATTACAACTCCATCTCTTGATTGCACTACTTCAATGCCTAAAGTATTTGAGACTTCCAAGATCCTTGGTTTGAAAATGTCTACACAAGTACTCTTTTAGTTGAGATATCCCAACAACATCATTTCCTGTAATGACAATATCATCAACATATACTATTAAGTAAACACATTT